TTTTTGTATTTTTTTAAAAATGTTAAGTATACCTTATTTATTCATTATACTGTTTAAGGAATGTACTGTAGTGATACTTATTTTTTTTTCAAATGATACCTGAAATTTTTTACTGAAAATTGCTAAGCATGTGATGTTTTTGAAAATGTTGATGAAATCGTAAATTGGGAATGTATTTTCTGAGTTTTTAAACTGTAAGTACTTTTAATATGATGGTGATAAATATTCTACAGACAGTATAAAATACAATTTATAAAATGTATTCTGGTACCTTCATATTATACTCAAAAAGTTTTTTGTAATAGATTAATATTGATTACTTTAATCTACAATTTATCATAGTACAGCTTACAAACCTATTGTTTTATATTTTGTGTGTTATTAAGTTATAGAACTTAGAAACTATTTAAACTTTTATTTAGATACATTACATAATTTTCATAAAAAAACCATACCCTTAGTAATTTAAAATAAAAAGTACTGTACTTGTTTGACAAAATAAAAATGTGTACACTTTATGATATCAAAAAACACACAAAAATTTGAATATTTTTAAATATGGTAGGTATTTTTTAAAATGTTAGTGAAAAATCAGAATTTGAATAAATGCATTTTTAAATTTTATTGAAAGGGACAAAAGGGGAGAGCATGTTTGGTGAATCACTCTGTAATACAAATATCAAGGTGCACATATCTTGTGTAATTTATGAACACGCGTAGTCGTGACTTAAAAATATAAATTGAGTTCACGAGGTAGTTTCGTGATGTCCAATGATCCCTTAGTAGACAAACGACTACTGCACTTACGCACGTGCAGCATATGATCATTATAATAAATATATATGTATATATAGCATATACATATAGGTATAGGTGAAGTTAATAACCTAACCGAAATCAAATTATTTCTACAATTTCAGAAAAACGAAAATCGCATTATGCGAGAAAATGTGAAAATCCATAAATCTATTTCGAAAACTACTGTCGATCTTTCTAAATTATGAATACTGAAGGACGTACAAGTTGTTTATATAATATTATTAAAAACTATTATTTTATTTTTAAATTTATTTATTCAAGCCATATTACATAACTACATATTAGAATGTCGCTCTGCTATAGTTTTGACAAAGTGTGTGAATCGATGTTTCTATAGGTTTCATCAAACACAGTTATTAATTTATTAAGGAAGTTCATAATTTACTGAATGATAGTTTAGTTTTGAGTTTTGATACCAAGTTCATAATTTACTAAATGAGCTCAATAATCTCAAACTATTATCTCTTTAAAAATGTACGAAGATTATGCGATGTGACTAGTATAATATTGATAGTAAGTTAACAAGTTAAGTTATACCCTGTATGTTTGTTGTTTTGTTTTTAAGCGTCCATTTCTTAGCAAAGGGAGACAGCAGGTAAAAATAAAAACATGATAATTATATAATTGAGTGTCATAAAGTTGTATTGTGATTGGAGGATAAATATGTCTAGATTCTTGTACAGTTTAAAATAAATATATTTTTGATATAAATATTGACTACAGTTGAGACGTTTTGTTTGTAATTCATCTACAATTTGATGAAGGATCTGCAATAGCCAATAATACAAAAATAATGTGGCGATACGGCGTCCTAGTTAGGCAATTTAGCTACATCAGGGTCATCGAGGTGATTCATAGATTTGAGATAGTTTTTTTGCCATTCAACATTAGGGTTCTTCTATCCCATGATCAACATCCGTTGAGTGTATAATTACACATGTCACAACTTCACTAGCATACCGTACACTTGGAAAGAGGTGTACCATAAATCATAATAACAAAATAATAGTAATAATACGTATAATATTATATACCTACTCATTATTGTAATAATAGATGTATTGATGTATTATCTTATGCAAAATGATAATATTATGGTACAAAAAGAAAATCGCTCGTCATCAAAGCTATTATCATATTATGGGTTTTATAGGGTGTTATAATATTAGCATGGACATACAAAATATGAATTTGTCAAAATATATACTGTCAATATAAATTATAATAATATTATTTATTACATTATTCTGTTAAGACAGGCGGGCCGAATGAAAAATAAAGTAAAACAATAATATTGATGAGTGATGAATGATAATTTATAAATGGGTCCATTATTATTATTATTAAATTATAATCTGATTATATTGTTACGGTAATATTGTTTTATCTTTTGTCCCGCCGTGGGAAAATATAGCTGAACCAATCAGAGCACTCTCGGTGCTGTTATTGTTTCCACGATAGTATTGTTGGATCATTAAAATTATAAACCAATTTTTGACCCATCTCAAACATTCAGTTGTATACTACAATGATCCAAATTTATTACTGAAGTAATCGACAAATAAGTCACGATAAAAAAGTTACCCGTCGATATTATTAAACTATTTTAAACCTATATGGTTATACTTAAATAATCCCGGATGATCAGTATTTCCAATCTGAGTAAATTTTTCAAGAACATTTAATATATAATTATCTATATATATATATACATATTATTATATTTCAGTACTTCTCCACTGGACCACCCCATAAGCATCTTTTATACATCTAACACAATTGTCCATAATAGTATCCATCCAAGTACACCTTTGAATTATCTAAATTAATGTAAAAATGGTTAAGGATCTTAGATCATTCTAAAAACAAATAACCTTTGGATGAATTAAAATCGATGTTGAGAATGAAAACAATTAATTTACTCGTCAACTATATTATATTGTACTTATATACTGTATAAAATGTTCAAATTAGGTTTAAATATTTTATTTTTATTATTATTATTATTTTAGTTCATTATAACACTCAGTTATTGTTATTTTACTGTCTTGCACATTGTTTTCTTGACAAATTCTTGACATGCACATCAAAAACTTCACTCATGCATAAGTTTCTAACTGCACTGTGCATTTGTATAGGTCATTAAAATGCACATGTTTAAATATTTCAAAACAATTGTGATAATTGGTAGGTGAAAATAGATTGGTTCTGTCATCTTGTACCATTTAACTATATTGTCCTTAAATATACTTCGCTGCAAAATAACTTGAGTGCATAATTTCGAGTTGCTTAAAGTTTTTTTAATAAATTTACTTCAGCAACACTTTTTTTACATCTTTTCTCCTATAACGAACTGAAGCGAAAAAATCTAATAACGAGTTTACTTTTCCAATTACAAGTTTCCAGGCCATGTATTTTCTTGCAGATGTATATATTCAGAAGACAACAATCCAACAAATTAATAATCAACTTATTAAAAAAGTTTTTGAACAGACATTCAAATGACAGTAAAAATAAAAATAAAAATAGACTATATTATATAGGTAAGCTTTATTCTTATTGTCACTTATTTCTAGACTTAACATATTTTAATTTAAGCAATTTATGTGTTTCATAAGTTATTTTTACAATAAAATACTGATGTATGATAATTTAAACAATACTATGTTTTAAACTCCATTAATAAGATAATATTAATTATGTAACTTACCGCCCAAAATAAACAACTTGATCCATTATGCATGATTCTTATGATTAAATTTGTTTATGTATTGATTTTATGGATTTAATCCAATAATCTTAATAAGGGACCACAACAAATTATTCATACTACAATATAAAGTGCGTTTTACCAACAAAAAATATTTTATGGGTTTCAAATTTATTTTTGGAAAGTATAAAATATAAGACAATAGGTATGAAAAATGATGAATGATACTTGATATTATAGCACATATAGTTTTAAGATTTATATACATATTATATTTAAAAACTGTGTATACTTTGTAGATTTATAGTTAGTAATTATGAGACTAAAAGTTTTCTACAGTTTTTGAAGAAAGGGCTGCAAGGGTGTCAAATTGCCAAAATTATCGAGGTAAATTTAAGCATTATAAACCAAAAACTTGTTAAAGCCCATGAAAAATGATACGGTTTTATACTTTTAAAAATAATTTATTATTATAATTATAAATTAATCGATATAAACGAGTTTTAATATAGTGTCTATACGAGTATATAAATAAAAAATTTTTGTTTAACATTATAATTGTATCAAATGTATATTTCAATGAGTCCTAGGCTGACGTGCAAGTATAAGTAAGATTAAGTTTCATCAAAAGTTTGTTTTAAGCTCTCAACGTAAGTTCAACACAAATAAATAAAATAAACACTCTAAAAACCTTTTAAGATGTACAACTCTAACTTCGTTAAACTGTCACCAAGTGGTCATTTGAAATTTGTAGTTTGAGGTTTTGTGTTGCCAATTACATCTACCTATCAAGAGTATCTGCTTGAGTCAAAGAACAGATGGAAACATAATTACCTTAAACTTTATTGAAAGGTAAAACTTGTGTTATAGAAACCGAAACCATTATCAAATACTTAATACAGACAATCACAAAGTGTAGGATTTCTTAAAATCAATTTATTTTTACGTATAAGTAAACAGTAGACTAGGTAGCTTATAAATTTAAGAGAATCAAATTAATTTTTTTTTTATTCATTTGTACTATGAACAAATACATTAAACAAAAACAAAAACATTAACAATGTACAACTTTTTTAAACTTACAATGTGAGCTGGATCATTACAACCAATTCATTTGTTCTTTAATGGGTTTTTTATTTTTTTCATTTCATTTATCGTACATATATAAATATAAATCTATTTGTGAAAAGGTAAAACGTATTACGACTTTTTTATGTTAGTTATAACTACTTTATTGATGAAACTGGATTAATTGCACATCAAGTTTAATATTGTATTAGTATTTTCTTGATTATTGACCAAAACTAGAATACAATTTACATTCTAAATATTATAATATTATGTTATAATAAAAATAAAATGTTAATATTATAATATTATGTTATGTGTCTATTCTACAATATCCGATAATATGATATTATACTAAATCGTCTTAAAAATTTTAACAATCCGTTTTTCGGTTTGTTTGCAGAGAAGTTTGGGTGCGGTGGAAGAGCACCAGAGGATGCGCAACTACTTGTTGCGCATTGAAAGGGAAGGAGTCCAAAAGGTTAAGATGTTCGTGGTCATCACTGCGGCATATGTGATCTTCTGGGGACCGCTATTTTTTGTCACGTTGGTACAACATCCGCTATCCGGCAATCGTTCCGACTACGAGGTAAGCTGATTTAGATATACTATTTATTTTATATATTGCAGGCCATGCCCTTAAATTTCGAAAACTAAAATGTAGAGGTTGAATGGCGTGACACGATATAAAATTATGTCGTATAATATGTCCTACTTGCAAGAAAAGGATAATTAATTGATAAATAATTTTATATTGTACCTCGAAACAATAAGTTATGCATCTGACAGTGACTGTATACCTGCATAGACGCTGTTAGATTTAGTAGTATTTATTTATTTAGAATCAGTGATTCTGGTAATATTACATAAACTATGTTGCACGCCAATTGGATGTTGCATCCTACTGATCTGGTACTTGTCGCTACATTCACTAAAAAATAATTCGTCGATCATTGGACTCATACGTATCAACACTTAATTTTAAAAAAACAAGGAAATTACTTTATTTGAGTAAGTGCTTTATACTTCTAATAACAAAATGATGGGTAGGAATCAAACATTATTAGGATAATTTAATAAAATCGATTGTCAGAATAATAAAAATAATGGTTAATTTGAGTGCCATTCGAAAGATTCAAAAATCTATTCATTTTTTTATACATTAATAAATACCTAATAAACAAAACACAGCTCACATAAAATATTTCCTAATTCCGTGACTTTGTTAACCATGTTTACCGTGTTGCTACAGTTTGTAGCACAATAAAATTATGTTGCTACTGTAAGTAGTCTCATATTTGATCCAAGTCTGAGAATTCGGAAAGGAAAAGATTAGAATTTGCTATAATACTATTAGGTTTTTATTAATTTAATATTAGGTACATTATGACGTGTAGCTCAAACAGACCCTTTTAAAGTATATGGCATGCAACCCCTTTTAACCGTCTCATGCATTTGGATGATTTTTTTTCTCGCTTTATAAATTCACTCTATCCTTAATAAACCATAGTACATTTTATATTCTCACTGTATAATATAATGTACAAATTAAAATTCACGTATGAAATGCTATTTTATAAAATTATTATTTCATAATAATATTTCGTTCACGAGCAGCGACTTCTCTTGAAGCGCACAAAAAAAAATACCATCCCCACTACTCCACTCTAGCAACTAAACAACATCAACGCGAGACTGGCAACGCCGTTTTGTTATAACTATATAATTATCATCATCATAATCATCATCACCACCATCGTGTATCCCTTTCCCCGCTCCCTCATCCAAGACATTCGTTTCCATATTATGCAAACCGCACGTCACATGCCGTGAAACAATATTGCTTATTTATGTACGTGTACAATATAATATATATTGTAATTCGTGGTACACACATTGGTATATTTCTCATTAAATTATTAAATGAAGTGTGAAATTCAGGGAAATGAGATTGAGACCTGTGCTAGGAAAACTAGAAATACTTCGATTACGGTCAAAGCCTATCATCTATATCTATGATGTTGTGTAAATAATATTAAAATAATAATTATAGATTTATAGCCCGAGAATACGTTTTCAGCTAAGTAAAAATATGCTCGGTATGATAAACATTAATTTAAAAAAAAAATAAAAAACAAAAAAACTGGTATATTAAAACAAATGAATTTGTATAATCTTATCATAAATACAATTCTAATTTTAATGATAGCAGCGTACTTGTATTTCAATTTTATATAATGCTGCAATCTATATGTAATGTCACGCGCCGAATACTGTTGTAGTTGTACATCCGTCGTGAAAAATAATTCATAATTTTCGAAACAAATACGTTGATGAGAATTTTTTATTATTATTATTATTATTATTATTATTATTAATCACGAATAAAATTCAACTTTGATGACTGATCCACCGCATAATTTATAAGACTATTATATTCCCGGTAAGATGAAAACTAGTACACGCACCGGAATACCAATATGGCTGTATATAATATATATATTTTTAGAACACAACAGGCGTATAAAATCAAAATTTCGTCTATAAGACATGTACGTAGTTGTAAAGTAGGTATAATTCACGGTATATACTATATAATGATATTATACCATCATATACGTACAATTTATTATTATTATAACGTACCTTTATAGAACCATATTATTGTTATATATTCGCAATACGCTATATTGACGCACTGAAACTAAAATAAATTTCCCTCAAGAATATCAGAGGTTGGGGAATCTCAAGAGAGTGATTCACGTCCTATATAGTATACTTATAATACGTTCATAAAACTATGGATAGGTAGCTCATTGTTTCCAAAAAGAGGAAAATCGATCATTTCGAATTGGCTTTAATAAATATTACTACACATACCTATCGTGATTTGATATATAAATATTTAATGATAATAAATAATAATAATAATTCAATAGGCGTAGGTGCAACATAATATTATTATCATGTACCTATATTGGAAGATTGCTAAAATATTTATTTCGCCTGCCATTTTGAATTTTATATTTTTATAGACGTATATTAAACTTACCCTAAGGTATCGCACTCTCGTAATTATAATATTTTTGTTCACTCAAAAACATTTGTATTTTGTACAGTCGGATCTCTGTTACTTGAATCTCCTAATACCTCTAAAAACAAATAAAACCAACTCCGTAGCTACCTACGACTACTACACGATAGTCTGCAAATTCACTTGATGAAAAAGTCTGTACGAAAAAATCCTTGACATTTCAAATATTCTTGATCCTTTCTCACTTCTATATAATAATAACAAAATTAATAATATGCAATAATCAGAGCTGTGAATTTCATGACTGTTGAATTTTATGTTAAACTATTAACTATTTTTTTTAGCAATATTATAAAATATTTACCTAACCTTACAAAGTCCATATTTTTAGAAATAAAAATACAAATTAATTTACATTTGATGTTATTATATTATTTTAGAGCATAAGTGATTTGAATAATAGTAAACATCTATAGTAAGTAGGTATAAGTACTTTTTTGAATTCATCTAAAAGTGCTTTTATAAGTGCCTAATTCATAAATTATAACAGCAACAAAACTCAAAATATTTTTTTCCCAAATAAAAATAAAATATAAATATTACTATTGGAAACAACTAAAAAAAAAAAAAATGATCAGTGCCTACTGGTGAACAATAAAAAAATGTAATATCGGCATCCGTAGAATATCCAAAAACACTCATGAAAAAATAATGTAAGTAATGATACTCATGAAAAAAAATTGAAAAATGTTCTCAAATAAAAGTATAGTTTGCTAAAATAAAAATGTTTGTACGTGGTGCACTATAATATACTATAGAAGGTATAGTGTTTTAACAAATTATTTTATTGCTATGTTCCTAATATTATAACGAATGATTATATGAAAAACAATATTGTTGATCGAACTTGTGATATCTTTGACGAAGTAACAAAGAAAAACAGCCCAAACAATAATAATAATAATCATTAATAATTATTATAACTATATAATATTGGCCAATGGTCTTGATGACTAGATCTGACTAGAAAAATAATATTATTTCATTTTGTTAGTTTTATTTATATACTTAATTAAAATGAGCATAATACATTTTTTTCGTTTTATATGGGAAAAGCAGATATTTCTGTGATTTTACCAGACTTAACTACAACATGTAACATTTTTCAATTCTACTTTTTTAATGATGTATCTATTTTTCTCCAAGTATGTGTACAGAGTGATCCATTGAACGGAAGACACTCATCATTTGAAAAACCGTAGTTTCAACGTTTTTGAATATTGTGATTGTCTTAGGGTTCAATACGATCGGTCGGTAAAGGCGAAGTTATTGGTACAACAATAATAAATGTGCTCGAATATAATACACATAAATAATAACATTCCAATTTATAATACCTAACGGTATAGTCCAATACCATCGACAATAGTTAATACGATACCGTCGACGTACTGTCGTTGCTGCAGGTGACGCTGCATGTGGCCAATGGCCATTCGTTCGTCAACGCCATGCTGTTCCTGGTGCTGCACCGGGGACTCCGTCAAGCGGCCGCCGACGCTTGCTGCACCAGCATGTCAACGGTGGCCAGGTGGCTGACGGCCGGGTGGTCGCCGGAACCGTACACGCTGGACGCATCGTTGCCGGGCATGTCGCCCGAGCCCGTGTTAGCTGCTCCGCCGCCACCGCCGCCCACCAGTCTGCCGGCGTACACCATTCGGCACACTTCGATGAGGGTAAGTCACAATAATGCACGAGGTGCACAGTGATAATAATGTAACAATAAATTATCGATATTATTATACCGTCGTTGCGAGAGTTGGGTCAGGTTGGGTCGGGTTTTTGGGCGTGGTTTCGCAGGTCGACGAGGATGCGGTGTTGCGGGTTTGTGAGAGAGTTATAGTTACTTATATAAAAGCGAAATTCAAAATGTTGAAGAAATCGACGGGAAAAGACGTTTTATTCAGTGTGCACTTGGGCCATTTTGACAGATTGACCTCGCCTAGCCGGCGGCGTGCAATAAGGTTTTCTAAGGGGCAGCGCAATAACGGCCATGAGGGGATTTAGTGGAACAAGGATGAAATGATTTCTCGACGTCTAAAAGTTCGAATATTCTCATTATATTTTACATACCACTCAAGCACTTAATAATATAGGTAGTATATCATGGAGATAAAGTATTTTGTATTTAATAATCAATTTGTCAAGTGAAATATGTACAATACCTTTTGACAAAAAGATTAGTGGGTATTTAAATATAAAATATAAAGAAAATCAGGATACCAACAACAATACCTACGTAAAACTCTATACATAATATTAATACTACGTCGATTTATTTATTTTTATAATTTATATTTTAGCATAAATTATTATAATTAACATTTTTTTTTCTATTTTAATCGCTTATGATGGTGGACCATAGGACATAGGAGCATAGAACACATGCAGTGTCGGCCTGGCCAAGGCAGCTAGGCAGCAATCTGCTTGGGCCCCCGTCTTTTTTTTTATATATATATTTATAAATGCGGTAGTGACTTGAGGCGCGAGCTAAGTAATATAATAATAGTAAATAAGTAAAAGTGGTCATTGTGTAAATCGTATAAAGTATTATAATATTATATATCCATATTTATTTAAAATTACAAATATAGAATCTCTTATATATAATGTATTACATTTTTCATAATTATGATTTATTTAATTTAATTATTATAAATAAATGTTGTAGTATGGGGGCCCCTAGCCGGCTTGGGCCCTTCCAATTAAAATCCTGCCTGGGCCCTTTAGAACCAGGCCGACACTGGACACATGCCTCGAATTAGCTAAAGGCTTCTCTCGAATCGTCTTATAATATGGGTACCTAATATTATCATAAGATGGTGAGAGAAGTTTCAATCACTCAGCGTCTGCTGAAGTAGAGTTCCATCGAATATATTTGTATCCGTTTATATTTTTAAAATGTAGCTATACTATTATAATAGTGTAATATAGTAAAACGTAAAGTGATCGTATTTCGCATAGATTTTTCGCATAGATTGTAGGGGAGCATCAGCTTGGATCTGGAGTCTTTTGCCAGGAGGCATTCGGTTAATATGTGTCCAACGGTAGTTGTGGTGTTACGCATTTACGTTGTTATTTTTGGTTCATTAGATGCTCATGAGTGTATAAGGTGTGACCAATTCTTAATATGTCGATTATGATTTGATGGTGTTTACATAGTGTTATGTTTCTTCAAATATATATTTAAAACAATTAAGATATACATTAGTTTTATGTCTTGCGGGTAAAAAGGGTATTGCATCTATCAGCTGTGTACTTTGTGAATTACTATTTTAGCTGTCTCAATTATCCTTATAATAATTATATCATACGTACTTATTGTGTATTTGTTGGCATTGGAGGTTGTCATAGGCAGATGACGAGCTGAGAACGGATGGCCTATACGCTCTACAGCATAATATTGTGCGCACTGCACTTATCATAATATGATTCGAAAAAATACTAAATTCGAAACCTGAAACGATCGAAATTATTATAACTCATTAGTCCATTAAATGAATAAATTGTGTTCTCCCGTTCAAAATTTCAAATACATTCGACGATTTTATATGGTCGTTGCATCTCACATCATCCTACCGGTCACGTCTAAACTCGTGTACATGCACAATATCATATATTTTCACACAAATAACATAGCATAGCCTCTGTGTTGTACAGTTACCGTGGCGTGTGGTGGATGTAGACTCGGAAGTGGATCCAGTGACGCGAGGCGAGAGAGATTCGGCAGTAACATATGTTATGATATACCTGTCTATGTCTTTAAAATAATATTATCATATTATCTTCCACGAAATTTTCACTTCCTCATCTCGTCCACCTCTTCGGCTCCTCCCCTCCCCTTACACTAACTCATCATACCTATACATTATATTAGTATTGTCGTTTGATATACCGCGAACTGTGGAACCGTGTAACCTATAACCCATATAGGTGTAATACTTTATAACCACCAAAAAAGTCTATGGCAGAAACTAAAATAATATTATGTTTAATGTTTATTACTACCTATATTATTATCATGTTACGTCGACAAAACTCCTGAGTCTGAGTATTTCTAAGATTTCGCTTTGATTTCACACGTATCTAAATATAAAATAATATGGAGACTCCCATATTTTTTGAATGCTAATTGTTTTTTATTTTAAAAAAATGGATTGCTCAAATAACTGTACCTGTTGTTAATATGATCTATTTTAAATATAAAAATTGTGTGAAATAATAATATTACTCAACATTAATATTTGATTATGTGGGTGTTATTACAATATGTACAATATATATAGTATATATATTATACACTATACAGCATACACTGTACACTGAACTGTTAACAACTGTATATGGAAATCATGAACCAAAATGTTGATGAAAAATATCACATTTAAGATTTTAAAAGACCATCGTATTATAATAGTCATTTACATAATATCGTATTTTCTAGATTTATCTTCAATCAAAAAGTACTAGTTTTATGTGAAATTTTTGATATTATTTAAATTTTAAACATTATAATATGTACCCACTATATAATGCCTTTATATTATAATACCTTCGAGAGTTGTATGCAAATCTGACCACTGAAATTAATTCATCTCTCATAAATGATATGTTAGGTACCTAATTAGCATACGTCATATTCTCAGGGGCGTATTTAGCATTTGCATTTTCTCGAGGGAATGAAAAATTAATTTCTTGATTGTTTACTTTACTCATAATAACAATAACAAACTCATAAACGTAAAAAATATATTTTTCTAAATTTATAATAATATAAAATAATATATTACCTATATTATTTTTCAAGGCAAAGTTATCAATAAACTTTTTTAATTTTCTTTGTGACGTAAAAACAAGACCAACCCTTAAGCTACGGATTTAACATGGTGTAAATTATAATTATCATTTGTTTATTTAATCCATTTTATTGTTTGCCTACTTTAATGATTATGTTATATTGACCATATTTATGTATCACTATAAATTGCATTGTTCTATAATTGGGCTTCCAAGTCCGTTAATAAATTAATATTTATATAATATTTTTGCTGACTCTGAAAGTCTGAAAGAAAAACTACCTTTATAATATTCTTAACCCTTAAACATTACTGCTCATTTTTGGTTTATATCTTTCACATAAATCTTTATTTTTGAGAAGTAAATTAGTATTTGAAATTTCTTATACTACTTCTTATATTCATGAATTTTTAACTTGTTGCTTGTGATTTTTTTTAAAGGGAATCGTGAAATCTATTTTCATTTAAGTTACTTGTTTCAGATTTGTATTTGATTTTTAACATGCTAGCCTAATTGAAAATAGCAAAGTCGATCTATAAGAAAACTTAAAGAAATCTTAAAGAAAACTCTAAATTATTTTCAAGAAACTTGAAAACAGGATTGAACATTTGTATGCCAAGAAAAATAATTTTTCACAGTTCACAATAAGTTATTGGCTTGGTTTTATTTTATACGAAAAAAATAATAACCACGAGATAGGTAGGTATACTGAAACAATTTAGTCAGAATTTTGGACATTCTGTTGAGGTTTCGGTTTCAGGATTCCTAAAATATGTTTGGTCCATTTTGGCAAGGTTCTAGCAGAGCAACTATCTATAATTTGTAATTCTAGACACATAAAAAAAGATACACAGTCGTGAATCTGTGACTCTCGACAGTACAATATTATAATGTACTATCATAACTTTACTTTCCCTCTCACCACAAGAAAAAAATTAGTGACCACGCACTGCAGCAGACAAATAGTATTATATAAAGCGAAACTTCTAAATACATGAGACTCTCGGTGGCTGAAATTTGTCCTACTATTCAGAGGTGTCCGTAAGGGGATATTTTACTGTATTAAGAAAACGTAGTACATGTATGTATTGTCTCTGTCTTATTTACACATATTATACTATAGGTAATTGACTTTCAGTAGTTCCCATGTTGTGTTTTAGATTAAATATTAAATAATTATCTAAACTGTTGTCAAACTTAATGGTAAGAACGCATTATCTGCTAGATATCTTGTTGGATTTTTAAGATATGTTAATTTATTAGCGAGTTATGAGAGTACGAAGTTTGTAAATTAATATTAGTACCTACTTATATTTGCTCGTAACACTATTAAAGTGTGAGTAGGTCAGTAATTATTCACTTTAATATTAAAGCACACAACTTGAAACTGATGAACATAATATACGTAAATATTACGTATTATAATATTATATGGCAGATGCAAACGGTTAAAGCAAAACAGTTATAGATTATTTTTTTTTCATGTGTTACACAGACTCGGTCGATGAATCGATTCCCAGCGGCGCACCACCGGGACCTGCACTACGACTACCATTCGTCGCATCCCAACCTGCACGACATGTCAGGCATCAACATGGGCCGGTTGTACAACAGTCACGAGTATCTGCCGAACGATTATCGCCGATACAACCACTACTACCACCACCGGGAAACGCCGCCGTGCTCGTCGCCCGAATGATTTTATTTCGCGTCATCGTCGTCATCATCGTCGTTGTCGTCGTCGTCGTCGTCGTTGTCTTTCCCGCGTGTTCGTACCGTTCCCGTTTCGCGGCCGCCGTGCCGTCGTCACCTGAATAAATCGTAAAAATAAAATCCATAAAAAATAAATAAATCTTCCGAAATCATTCTTCCGCGCGCGAGCGTGTCTAGGACTCGGGAGGCGGCAGTGGCGGGCGGCGGTAGGGTCGGAGGTGGCGCGTGTGGGTGGGCTGGCGGGTCGGTCATATATAGCGGGCCCCCCGACTACGAGAGGATTTCGCCCACCCTCGACTCACCGACCGCCACCGGGACTTCGGCGGCGGCGGATATCGAACGAACGACCGCGACAGACCGACCGACCGACCGACCGGCGGCGAACCGAAAATCCGCTCGCAGAACGAAGTGGGCACAACTGCACTCAGATATTATTATACGTACGCTGTCATAATTATTATACCATATCGTCTTTACGTGGTACAACAATAATTGTTTCCGCGTATTTATAATAATATACCGACTACGACCAATTTACAAATAGGTTGGTGTCTACCTGTACATCAATCTTCTCGAGTTCCATATCGTTCCAAGCGTTTGTTTTTCGAATTTATCTCACACGCCGCGCCACCGCCACCCCGGACCTCCCCTTTCAACACCACCCTCCGTATCCACACTCAGCCACTTTGGCCTACTTTTCGACCACCGTCGCCGTCGTCCCCGGAAATACCGCTCACCGGGCGCTCAGCCTGTTTTCGAATATACGTTTTTGTGCTAGCACGTTCTCATCATTATTTTTTACTTTATTATATACATTATATTATATTATAAAAAAAACCATTACCATTATTATTATATTATTATTATTATTATTATTATTATTATTATTGTATGTCTATTATATTGTGTCCGTGATTTACGTTTTTTGTGAAACATCAAAGTAAAACATCTATATCTATATACACTTGAATCCAATCTATACGCGTATTTTGTTTTTGATTTTCGACAGAGATCGATATGTTAGTGTAAGTTCAACAGTACCTACAATACTTATGTGAATACCTCCTATATATATCTACGGCGATTGCCGACCCTCAAGACGAAACACTCACCTTTGTACTACATATAGGTATACGCTGGTAACGGTATCAGTCGAAAGTTTCCGAAGCTTTTGCGGAGCTTTTGACGCAGCGGGCGCTGAGAAAAAAAGATATTATGTATAAGTAGAGACCTATTGGTAGAATACCCTGTTTTACCTATTATATATATATAACGTATACAATATGGTATACCGGCCCCCGCGGTTGTTGGCCTGAAACTTTCGAAAAGTTCTAAGCCCAAAATTCGTGGAGAAGAGACGACGAAGAAAACCGATACCGACGAGTACACGTATTATTTTTATAATCGTACCACAGGGTTATTCAAAATAAATTATGATGCTTTCCACCACCTGGATTCCTATAGGTCACCTGATCTTACGCCATGTGTAAACTACTGCTTCTTTTGATGATATAATGTTAAAGATAATGTGTAGTACCAACAAATTTTATCGTCGACCACAGAAGAGCTGAGCAATTAGCAGATTCGACTTTATAATGGCATGTTATAATTATTGTTATATTAATTAAATGATTATTTGAGTTCCGACTAGATGCGGTGTAAATGTGATCAGGGGAAACCACATAGAACATTTATACATCGAGTTGAATTCTGTTATTCAATGTATCATAGGCTGTACGCGTTACTCGCGTTCCGTAAGATTGCAGGTAAGTTGCGTCTCAAACGAATATTTCACGTCGAAATTATACTACAGTAGTGTCAACATAATTTGACACCTAGAATGTAATTATTTAAGATAAATAACTTGTTACAACATTGCGTAGGTGATATTTTAGTGATGTAGCGAGTGTACCTATGGTCAATTTGTAGTTTCATAACCAAACACCTAACCGTTCACTTTTATAACTTATAGTTGTATGCTTGTAGTCTACGTTATAAATTAAAATGAAAACTCAGATGTGCAGTTCGAAATTTAATAAGAATTTAATGGTTTTGAATTCAATTAGTTTTTTATCACTCACATAGTCACATCCTAATAATTTCATATTCAAAAAGTATTAAACATTTCAAATAGACATAAGTTTTACGTATTAATATGTTTTTATAAACAGTTCGATTAAAAAAAAATGAGTACAGGGGTAATCAAAAAAATAAAATAAAATTCATTGAAACTCAAATTGGCAAATTCAACAACAAAGAAATTAATAATAGTATGATGTTTATATAGCTAATAAAAATAATATAGTTTCACTCAATTATAACTTATAATAATGTTTTATTTTATTAACTACCTATAGATGCCGTGTAACAGGCGTAAGTACCTATTTCGAGTATTTTGAATTCTACAAGTATCATCACCTTTTTGGTCGCACATCAATGGTTTGTATTAAAACTTGAACGTTTTCGGAGTTGATAAAGATTGTAATTTGTTGAAAAGAATTGTATAGTTTTCTGATACGACTTGTCGACTAAGATTTTAGATAAGGCTTAGCGCTTCTAGCGTTTGACTCGCTCCGAGTAAATATCCCGCGGTGGGAGGTTTTTAACATAATCCTAAAAATTAAAAAATATTTAACATTTGAAATCGGACGAATCGTTTTGAATAACCATGTGTACTGCAGTATAATACATGGGTAGGTACTACGACATGCGTACACGATTCACGTGGTTACGCGGACTCTGCAATAGAAACAAAAAAAAAAATCGTCTCTTCTCTCCGCGTGACAATCGATTTGCGTAACGGCGGTAATGAATGTGTAGGACTATATAATATATATTATTATATGTTTGTGTTTACACAAAGCGCAAGGAAATCGCTATTAACGTTGAGCGAGGAATCAAACGATTTGCTGCTGCTCGATAACATAATGGGTGTGTGTAAAAGAGGTAATTAAAACAATATTATGAAGTCGTCCGTGGTACTTCCATTTAATTACGCAACGAACCAGTCGGAAAAATGTCGTTGGTTTTTTTTTCATTCCGATTAGTCTAAAATTTGCATCATTTCCTCAATTTACGCCACGATAATAATATATTATGTGATTGTGTAGGTACCTGTACGATAAATGTACGCTCTTATATAGCGACGTATTTCCCTGTTGGTATTGCTTATAATAGTTACAATTGCAGTGCCGGGCAAAATACATTCACGATTGATGTTTATAAACAGATTCAAATTATGCTAGTTAAACCGTCCAATATAATAATAACTTTAACATATTATTTTATTAATGCAAACAAAACTCAACGAAATCAATAGAGAAATATGATTGAAATTTAAATTATAGATTAGATAGTTATGTTCGATTTCACCAACTACTTTTTTTTATGACCATACCTACTGTAAATTTGGTTTCAACACCAATCAATATCATCCTAACCATTTAGTATCGGCTAATTGGGTGTGACGTGTGTGTTTACTGTAAAGTGGTAATCAAAATATTAATAATATTATGTTGTTCATGTACTACCTACTTCTATTTTATTACTCAACGAGTCGGTCGGAAAAATGGCGTTCGTTTTCTTTTGACGAAAATTTATATCATTTCCTCAATTTACGCCATGATGATATTATAAGATTGACTATTGTGTTTAGAAAAATGTACGTTCCTAACCACCTACCGGCGTATCCCCCTGTAGGCTGTAAGTAATGCAGCTTACAATACGCAGTGTCGGGAAAAAATCATCTGCAAGTAATGTATGTTTATAAACAGATTCATAAATGCCAGTACAACAATATACTTTTAATAATGATGCATAACATTTTTATAAATTTAAAAAACAAAAGCAAGACTAAACAAAATCAATCGTCATCTATGACTTAAATTTTAATTTTAAAGTAGGTATGATTAGCTTCACCAACTAGTTATTTTTATAACTATACTGTATTAATATTGTTTCAACACTAAGAATACAATAACATCATCCTAATCATTTAGTACCTATCGGCTAATAATTATAATTTATGTATATTTATTGCAGTTTATCAAGTTTTTACTAGTTGATATATATGTATAAACATCCTATACTTACTTTAATCAAAGCCTAATCAACGCGTGTTTCGTTATACTGATGTAATCTCGAATTTAGATTAAAATATACACTACTTGACAATATAGGTGTTACCTATAAAGTCTTCAAAAATGAACATTTGGCCTTACGCAAACAATTTTAAAATACATATATATTATGCTCACAAAACTAATCAGAAGTAAAAGATTTTAATACAATTAAACCCATTGTTACACCTTAGAAATGATTTCGATGTCATAGAATTATTGAATATGTTAAATATGTATGTAAATGTTTATCATTACGTTAGAATTTCATATTCAATCATTACAATATCTTTATTTCATAGACTCTGAACATCTTGCGAATGTCCTATTTGCTAAGAGTGTAAAGTACAAATAATTGTCCTTAGATATATTATAAATGTAGGAAAGCGTCTAATTCGAATACTTTGAAACAAATGTTATATACCGATTTACTCAGTGGTTCTAACTTTTTATGACAGAACATAAAACATTATTATTTTTATATTATTTCCTCTTTCAGAGAAACAAATTTTAAACATTTTAATCATAAAATTACTTTTTTGTTTTTCTTTAATACAGACAATATAAAAATATCAAATTTTCTAGTCATAAATTGTTATATTAATAATAGTATATTTCATATTCAAAGTCTCGGTAATCTGACATAAGTACCTATATGGGACTGGAGTATAGAAGTCAGATTATCAAATATGTCGGATTATTTTAATTTATAAACAAATAATAAGGTTCATGCATAACATCGTTCAATCGTTATGTTACATTTTATACAAAATCACGTAGGTACTACCTACATAATTATTATTATTATTATTATCATCGTAATAAATCATCTATTTTTTTGTTCTGGTTTTTCGCCTGTCATAGTATGAATATTTTTCGATACGTTGTCTCTCAATTTCCTTAGATAAAATATTTAATCGGTTTATCCGGACTATCAATAATTGTCTTTATCGATTTAATAAGCAATTTAGTCATTTTTATTAAAAAAAAAATAGGCCGGATTACTGGATGCATAGGGTTATAAAGTAACCAGATAATCGAGACTCCACTCTATTTTACACGTTATACTTTTACTTAACTTTCAATATGTTCCTATTACGAATCGCTACTGAATTCGATATCCTCATAGGTACATTGTGTAACGGTATACCACTGTGAATTTATTATTTATACAATTCTCGTGTGTCTTGTCGTATAATACCTAGATACCTATTATAATATCTATCTTAGATATAATAATTTATGGGTAGCAAATAAAACCTATATTAAATAAAATTATTTTACTTATTTAAATTTCAAATTTAATTCTCTTATATTGTTCCTCTTTAATCCATCCAAACGTCATCCTTTATCTAATTTGTGAATCATCTGTAAATACTCGGAGAACTGCAATTAAATATTTTTTTCTGAAGAAGTGAGACAATATCATTGTTGTCAATTATTATATTATCGTACATTATATTATGAGTGTATATCAAACAAGCTGTATATTTAAACAATGCTAAAAACAAAGTTTGTTTTGGTAAAAGTACCACGTAATTTTCGTGAGTATTAAATTGTATATCATAAAATACAGAAAATATATAATAATTCAATGTCAAAACAAACATGACGTATCGTTTATAATATGTGCTGATAAATTATTGGAGGTAAACACAATTTTTATTTATTTTTCCGACCTTTCAAAGTCTCGAAGCACACACACACACACACATCGGAAAGGCATTCGGCGGTGGTAAGTTCTTTGGAAAGCTACAAATTTCACGCACTGCCGTAATCGAATAAATAATAATAATAATGAAAAAAAAATGGTCGTTACCTCACGGCTTGCGTTCGATTGATTTCGGTCTA